AGCTGGACTTGGAAACCAGGTACTGTATTGGCTTTACTTGTTCTTAAGCATTATGATAGGTGATGGCTTCATTTCTCATTTGTGAGATCTAACTAATTTCTCTTCCTTTAGGGCAATGAAAAGCTCTCTACCCATGAGAAAGAACGACTAAAGGTTCAATCCAAGATTGAACAGATGGAGAAAGCAAACTTAGATCCAAAACACTGGACAATGCAGGGAGAGGTACTCAGACATGCTTTTTCACACAGTTAAACTGTAAAAGAGCAATCTTGCATTCTGTTGCTAAATTTATGTATTGATTTGTCTTGTTGGAAGATAACTGCTGCAAAGAGGCCAAAGAACAGTGCTCTAGAAGTTGATTTAGATTTTGAGCACAATGCCAGGCCTGCTCCTGTAATAACAGAAGAGGTCACAGCCACACTTGAAGATTTGATCAAGAACAGAGTCATTGAGGTAACTACTTCTGGCAGTAATTTGTATCAAAAGTTTCGTTTGTTTCCTTCTCTGATTTTGCTTAACCGATCTTCTGACTTTGTAGGCTCGTTTTGATGATGTTCAAAGAGCACCTAGTCTCCCCACTAAGTCAAAGAGAGAGGCTAAGGAACTGGTGAGTTTTCTCGTAGAACTATTACACTCCTCTTCTTTTACTCTGGTTTACCAGTTGATGAATTACCTTATAATCGGTTTGTTTACTTTTGGAAATATGCAGGACGATAGTAAAAGCAAGAAAGGTCTTGCCGAAGTTTATGAGGTTTGTAAGATTTACAATATTTTGTTGTGTTTTACGTTATTGAGAGAGAACCAAAGTTACAAATTTGTGTGGTCCATTTGGTAATTTGCAGGCTGAATACGTTCAGAAAGCTAACCCAGCTTTTGCACCAGCAACTTTCTCTGATGAACTAAAGAAAGAGGTTCCAACTTGACTTCATCCTTTATTCTCTTCTGGATTTTTTTGGTTTACCTTTCGATCTTCTCCCTTATATTTTTTAGTCTCTATATCACATACTCTTTCTTATAAATGTTGAATCAGGCAAGCATTCTATTCAAGAAACTATGCCTGAAGTTGGATGCTCTCTCCCACTTCCACTTCACACCTAAACCAGTATGTTTCTCGTTCAAATCCTAAATGATGATGTTTTATACATAGTTGCTATGCACTGAAACTGTTTTTATCCTCCAACACTTTCAGATAATAGAAGAAATGAATATTCAGACAAATGTCCCAGCCATAGCAATGGAAGAGGTCTCTCTGTTGTTTTCATTAATCCCTTTTTTTGGGTTTGAGATCAGAGGACCGTTGTATTGAGCAAGTTCTTCTATGTGTATTGTGTAGGTTGCGCCTGTGGCAGTCTCAGATGCAGCAATGCTTGCTCCAGAGGAAATCTTTGCCGGGAAAGGCAATATTAAGGATGAGTCTGAACTTACACAGGAAGATAGAAAGAGAAGGAGAGCTAAGAAGAAGAGAAAGTTTAAAGGTAAGGAAGTGATTAGTCTGACTGCATCATCTGTTGTACATTCTCATGTTTTTCCTTATTTCTAACCCCTTTACTTTTCACTTATGAAACAGCTGAATCCGCAAATCAACCGATAAAGAAGGCGCGGGATGTTACTACCGAGAACCCTAAAACCGGTATTTTTTCATGCTCGAACATGACATTAGATCTTTTAAAATGTTCAAAAGCATCAGATGTTGAACTTTTGAGTACCTTTTTCAATATTACAGGCAGTGAACAACTGTGAAGAGAGGAGAGAAAAAGTTACACACAGGCAGATTCGAGATCAGAGATTTTACTCTAGAGCACTGCCATTTGTTTTGTGAAAAAATCTAAACACAGACTGCTTCAAGATTAGATAAACAACAATTTTGAATGTAAGAATATTTAAACATTTTATCGGTTTAAGGAAAAGTCAGAGAATTTTGTTCGGATCGGTGATTTGGTATTTAGCCGACCATGAAACATATCCTTCACAAATTTGAGAATCACCCCTTTTTAAAAGTTACTGTTTGTTAAGTTTTCCACACATAATAAGGTTATCATGTCATTGTCTGCAATTAGGTTTCTAGAATTATCAGTAATGTCATTGAGACTTTGATATGACTTATGAGTGTTTTTTTTTTTTTCCTTTTCATTTTATTGCTAGAAAAAACCTCACATAAAATATCAAGGGTGATTTTGCTTAATAACCAAARAAAAAGCATAATATAATTTTTAACAAAATGGCTAGAGAGAGAGATAGAAAGAATTAGACAGAGAAAAAAAGTGAATTTTGGTTAG